CTTTGCGTACGGCCTTCTCGAAGCCATGCCTGACAACACCTAACCACAGTGTCTACACTTCTTTGCACTCTAACTGCAATTGTCCGACAAGAAAGTCCAGCTTCCCGAAATCCCACTATACGGCCCCTATCAAACTCACTAAGTTGACGAAATCGTACAGGTCTCCGTACTCTAGGCATCGTAACTGATCGTAAAGGATGTCAAGAACCAAAATCCGCCAACGTTGATTCTTTACTGCGGCTGAAATAATCATTTTTAGAGCGTTAGTGAATTAAAAAAAAAGCAGTATATAAACCGGAATGTCCAACTGATAAGGCTGAAAATTGTTTCACTTGTTATTTACAGTAAGATAAATACATTCACCAACTTTTATTAAAATAAAACTATTTAAACTGGGTGTTCGGATTTATATGTCACTTAGTATACTTGCAATTCCTTACTAAATGAATAGTATTTTTCTTCAATCTCTGGATTTAATATTCCAAACGTAGTTATTTATTAGAAGTGAGGTTCCAGCTTTTATGACACCATGTATAAATGTCTAGCTTTTGTTTAACGTTCCAGTGCTCATATGTAACTACTGCGCCAGGGTAAAATATGTGAATTCAAAAAAGGTTTAGGTTCAATTTCTCGCCATGCATCTCCAACCAATATATCCACTCATACTGGGCTCATACTTGTGATATGTAGAAGGTAGAACCTTGAACTTTCTAGAAGGCTGTCAATAGTTTTTCTGCCGGCTAGAGAAACTCATATGTTTTCAAAGTCATTAGCTGAGTTTCGACAAACTGAAGAACTCTACCAACATTCAAGTACTCATCTCTCTGTTGCTTCGATCTGTTATACCAATAATTACATAGATGATTACTGTCAACTGATACGCCTGCTATTGAGAATGCCCTAAGTTAGCAGATCTCAAGGTTCACTTATAAAAAAGTATGTATGAAATATACAGAGAACGATATTTTAGAAAACTAAAATATATCAAAATCGGTTGGCTTTTATACATGCATATATCGTATTAGTCAGATCTAATGTTAATAATCCCATTTTCAGTGCCTAAAATATTCTATACGACTTTCCCTGAAATCCTGTACGTAGCGTATTCTAGATGTTAGTCTCTCGTATATGTATATCAAAAAATAATGCCACAAGTTTCTATGAAAAATGTCCTGCGAGGCTCCCCCACAGAGAGCCCCTGAAGTCGGGGCCTCACGTGGTAATGTTCCTGCAACAGTTGAACTGACACCAACGTAATATTGCTAAAATCTGAATGATAACGACCCAACGATAAAAATTTTGTATATGTACTTGTATATACGGGAGCACTAAAGGCCTAGTAGGCCCATGGCTTTGAAAGTGAGGTTCTTCCTTTTTCCTCTATCGACTGCCTTGTTCTTCCATCTCTGCACTCCTATTGCTCGTAAGTCCCCTTCTACTTCCTGTTTCCATCTGCTTTCTGGTCTTGATCTTCTTTACTTTGTGCCAGCTGTGTGCGTCAGAATCCTTTTTGGTATTCGTATATTTGGCATCCTTTCTATGTGGCTTAACCACCTTAGCCTCTGTGTCTTTATACCTCCTACTATACTAGGATGCCCATATAGCTCCTTTATTTCGCTGTTTGTTCTTCTCATCCAGACACTGTGAACTAGTTAGCCACCAGAAAATCCCCTTAAAATCTTCCTTTTCCTAACCTCAAATGTGTTCTGTTCCATTCTGGTCAGTGTCCAGCCTTCGCTCGCATATTTTACTACTGATAAGATAACTGTTCTTTATATTCTAGTTTTAGCATCTCTCGATATTTCTTTACTTTTTAAAATCATGTATTTCTCCTATGATATTTAGTTTCGTTGTGAATACTGTTGCTAGGTATACGAATCATTCCACCTTCTCAAAAACGCAGATCTTTCTTTCTTCTGCTTCTGTTTTCAAATTATTCCCAATTTTGCTACCAACATCAGCCCATTCCATACATTTAGTTTTATTTTCATTTATATATAGCCCCAGTTTCCTAGACGCTAATCTAGTCTTCTCACTACGACTTGTGCCTCCTGTTTTCTTCTCGTTACTATCACTATGTCATATACAAAAGCCAAACACTGGTGTTTTCTGTGATACAGTATCCCATCCCTGTTAGTATTCGCTTCTTGCACCATCTTTTCTGAGCATTGGTTGTTAGGTTGACAGGGGATACCCCTGTCTAACTTCTTCACTGACTTCAAATTTGTCTGACATTCTAGCATATAAAACTTTTAGTAAGCCCATTCTTTCGAGAGAAACGATCTTGTTTCAGTACAGTTCCATTAATTTTGGCTTTGTTCATACCACTTGCTTTAATTTTAGGTTTAAAAGAGATTCTTTGGTGATCGCAGTATGGATCGATAGGAACGGAAATGAAATAGTACTGTTTTTTTCAAAAATTATGCATTTTTTGGATATTAAACAAAACCAAATTTTTCCGCAGCTTAAAGTTCAGGCTTTTTAAAAAGGCTATCGGTATGCCATCATGATCCAAGGTGTAAAAGTTTTCCATTCCAACTGAAAAATAAGCTGGCAAGATTTCTGATTTCTAATAGCGTCTTTTAAGGACCTGTATCTCTGCAGAGTAATCGGTTAGGATATTTTATAGGAACTTGGGGCATTAGCTTTTGTTTTTCATATGACTATGAGATATGACATATTATTCTGGGACACTACGATAACATTTCTATAAATAAAAGTTCATACCATCTTCCACCAAAGTCAGACTCGCTGGCTGTCTTTAGAAGTTATCATTATCACAATTTATCGAACAGTCTAAAGCAATAAGGTTATTATCGATGGGTTGCAAATGATAAGTTACAGTTGACGGAAATATTCGATCGGCATTTCTTCTATTTTTGCAGCACTTAAACAATGAAATGCAGCCTGTTAATCCCAAGTTCTACAGGATGCTTATTTGGGAGAGGGTAATAATTTAAATCACATTGATGATTATAAACAACTTATGGTTGATGGGCGCTTAGCATTTTGCAGCCGAGATACAGGAAATGCTGATATTGGCCATTTCGTTATGGCGTCCCAATTTTCCAACCACCCGTTATATTTTTCTGAAGGTTGGTACATGTACTCGGGTTGTCTTACCGAATATACTGCGATAGGTAAAGAAATACAGGTCCAGACTAGCAAAAAGCACAGGCCGTATTCTGAGGATCCACGTTTATTTGAGCATACATTTTGTATGAGCTGGATATACTGACATTGTTCATTAAGAAGAACAAGGCTAGAAACTATTTTGGTTCAATAATTATATATCTATACTATTTAAGAATATATATATAGGTACTATGTTAGTATTTGATTTAAAAGGTCATTTTGTCGACCAGGTACTTTATCTAGGGCCAATTTTACCAACAACAGTCCGTTATTCTCCACCTATAGGGTAACAGTCCGTCAAATACAGCGAATGAGCTTCAAGTTCCAATCAACAAATTTTAGCAACCAATAGCTATGAAATGTTGAAAACAAAACACTGTCAAAGTATGAGATGACATCTTGTCATTGAAACATCATCAGCTTATTGAATATTAAGAAATTACATATAATTCAGTCAAAATTTAAAAAAGTGTTCGATTTTTTAATAAAATTCATGCTTTTATTTAATATTGTCGATTGTTTATTCATGTTTATATTTTTTTCTTCAATTGATATGCGATTTTACTGATTCAAGATCATCTACTGGGTGTTTTTTCCTATAAACCGATGGTTTCGATACATCAATGTATCGTCTATCGTCGCCGTCCCTATATTGTATCCCCACCAGTCACTAGTCAAAAACCTTAACCACCAATATTTTATCACTATTTATAATTCTTTTTAGCTCTTATTTTTCAGTAATTACTAATAATTTTAGGTCTATGTCTACAGTAATTGCATTATGCACCTCGGAGATGTAGGGATTAACATGTTTTACACATATCGGTGTTTTAGGATGGGGACGACCATACTGTTTTGATTGCTTTGAAGAAATTCATTAACCCATGAATTTATAACAAACGATTACTATTATGATGTAAAGAGAGATGAGGAATTGGTTGGAATACATTTTATATTCTATTTTCTTGCAAATCCGCACAATTCAACAGGTATGTGTAGCTATAATGATCACATATACACACAGTATATTGAACTTAACAAATTTCGAGATTGCCATGAATTAACAAACGACCAATCCTGCTGCCAAATTTAACAGCTAGAAAATCGACCTATTATTTCTCCCATTCCTATTCGCTGAGGGGATAACGGATGGTCAAATGTACACCTATAACATAAATCAAAATACATGAAAGTTGTCCTGTTTTCTCTGTACAAAAGCATCATGCTGGAATCAAAAAGTGGTCTTGTTTATAATACAGTCGAATTTTCACGATTTTATTCAATATTTCAATAGAAATCACTGATATTCTGAGACGTTTGACAGCTTCCGTCAAATTGCATTTCGATAAGGTATTTTTCTATTGGTCCTTAAAATTAATGTTGGTGAAATCTGACTAATAAAAACATACTCTCACGTCCGTAACTAACAACGACTATGGGTTCCTTTGCGAAACCATTCAAACAGCGTTTCCAGAAGCATAAGACATAGTTTAGTATTCTATCACAACAAGTGTCCTGCTCACAACCAGCTCTCTGTATCATATTATTGTAACAGTTGCCTTTTATTGCCGATGAATCATTTTTTTTTGTTGTTGTTGTTGTCGCACAGGTTGAATTTGAAGTAATGCAGCAAGAACTTGAGAAGGAAGAAACAAAAGCCGATAATCTAATCTAATAATCTCCGTAACATACTATTTTTATTCATAGCATATTATTAAATCAATTTTATTGACAAAAATGACTAGACCGGCCCATAACGGTGTATTTAGCTATATTTTTCTCACGTAATTCATAACCAAAATAAATAACACGCAGACATTGACCTATTATCATGTTTATTTGAAATAACAATAATTTTTAATTTGTATCCGTTGTTTTCCTTCTGTAGTCGTTTGGCTGCCAGCATCTTCCATGTCACTGAACAATTTGGGAACTGAAACCAAATATTTCTCAATCAATTAAACATAATCCATCCTGATCTATTTTATAATCCAACAATTTCAATTATTAAATTTAACGTACAGCAATCGCACTCCATTCTGATCATCTTTACAGTTTCTACCACTCAGTTTATAAATGTGTATATGATATGGACAATTTCTTCTTGTGTTGCCTAGTAATTTCCCTGGTTCACCATGAGTAATAATTTTAGTATTCATCTCCACATATTTTCATAAATAACTCGGTTGCTTCCATCCCATGCTAAAAATAAATAAATAAATAAATAAATAAATGTACGTCTATAAATTGAAATCACCTTCTGAATTAAAAACTATTTGTGTTGCATAAATAGTATTACTCACCTATTGGACTATGTATTTCTTTTATAGTCAGATGAATTTATTATTGTTTTCTGAAATCTTAAAATGTCAAAGGCTGATGTCGCTGATGTCGAGGTACTATTCTGCGTACCGAACTACTTGCACACTTCGCTAGTTCCGCATAGTTGCCAATTTTATTTCAGAATTTCCTTATGTTATCAATCAAATTAATATGCAGATATGACAGTGTTGCCACATTTGTCCACGATATTTCCTTGAATTTGTATTAGGAACCTTCTCATTTTGGGATTAGCCGACAACGTTTGGCTCTTAATAGACAGGCGTACAACTATATTTGGAAATGTCAAGTCGAAAAAATTAAATTTTGGGAGGGGACTTCCTTCCACTATCGGAGGGCCATCTTGTTCTGTTCCGCTAGTGGCAGAAGACCTGAAATCTTCCTCCTTTTTTGCCTGGGGCATCTTCGTTGGATTGTGGAAGAAAATTTCATAGATAATTTCCTGGGTCATTCCTGTTGTGAGTGCGTAGCATCTTTTTTTTTGCCTACCCTTGGACACGAGAAATTCTACAATTTGTAGGATCTTATTGTCTATATTTCTCATATACGTATATATGAGTTTTCTCAAAAGTAAATAATTATTCTTGTTCTAAAATGGAGTTAACTTAGTATTCTGTGGAGCATGCGTTGGTTTTATGATATTTTCCGAGTAACTCAAAGTGTAATTTTAAATCTGTTATACCGGGTGGTCAAAAATCATAATTGAATTATCTAAAATATTTAATTTCTATTCGCTCCTTTTTTTTATAATTAATATTCAATATTTGAAGATTACTACGCCTGAATACTATTATTCTTCCTAGGGTTTTTATTTTGGGGGAATCTTCGCTACTGGAGATCCATTGACACGTTTTCTACCGGGGACCTCTTTCCGAACAGAGACCCTTTTTCCACCATGGGGATTCTTACGTCATCGGTTTTGAAGCCTTCCTCGCCCATTTTAAATTAGTTAGTCAATAAGCTTTCGCATTAAGGCAGATCTCCTAGTTTGGCTGGCTTAAATTTTTGTTGTTAGCCTTTAGTAGGTGTAATAAAATGTATTGATGTTAATTTTACCAATTATTTACCCACACAGAAAATCTATTGTTTGTATGTATTTTTGTGTTTGTTTCTTGGGGTTTTGGGCTAAAGAGTGCCTTTCAACACCAAGGCGTCTTCCAGTTTTGGCGGATAAAAGCTGGTAGCGCCCCTAAAAAATACCCCACCTACTCTGCGGTGTACCTGAGCATAGGGCCTAATTTGCCAACGCTAAACCACGGCTTTAGCCTCAGTAACCCCTAGTTTTTTTTAATCATCCATTGCCTCAACTGAGAGAAATAACTTTAGCTCAAAATTAAAAAGTGATTTTTATTAAAAAAAAAGAGCGTGGCTAATCGATGAATCTACTCAATGATCGACTAGAAAATGTAGTCACATTGAGGTTGTTAGAGACATTCGTATCTGCAACGGCGCTGACCTTCTGCATCTGCGTTTGTCAATGTGGTAGCGCTGTCGGTGCATTCATAAATAAATTACTGTATTAAGAAATGAAAAAGATTCACTAGTAGTTGTCAGTCTATCAGCATGCAGCTCAGTCAACAGGACTCCTGTGTGGTCACTCCATAGATAGCATTCATGACACCTTCTTTTGACGAACTTTTGTGTAACCCACGAATAGTTTTGTATTATATGAATAAGAAAATGAATGAGTTGAAGTTTAATTCTGCCCAGGTAGCGCCAGTCTCCCCTATAGAGAGACAGTGTCACTGAATAATTAAGGATAACTCTCGAAAAGGACAAGCTATTAAAGACGGAAATACAAGCTGAATGCATATTTAATCTATTTAAGTTGTATGGATTCGTCAGAAGGAGGAACAAGTAATGGAATAATTCATCGAATTTGAGCCCGTGACACCGTGTTAACTATGCCAATTAATTAAAAACGTTCTCCAGCTGCAATTGTCGCTTCTCCGTCGATATATTAGCAGATTGATAACGTTTAACCACTAGATATCGACTCGCACAAAGTATAAAGAAAATAGGGAATATGTCTCATAACAGTTGATGGGGTTTGTGTGGCCTTGGTTCAAAAGAAAACCAAAAAGTAGAACTTATTGGATGCCCGACAAAAGCAAATTGACAATACAAAATTACTCGACAACATTTATTAAACCTAAGGTGCAATACATACCGACAATGATATAAAAAACGATTCAATTGTCATTTAAGCATCTAAGGTGTTGGTAAATTCTCTAGTAGTCACATGTAGAAGTATACCTACTTATTACACCGCTGCGAGAAGCTATTAAATTGTAGTTTTCCATTTTCGAGCCCCCCGTATCAGTTTTAGTCTCACTACAGACGATCATGCAGATAAAGTGATCTCAGTCTTTTCAGGAACATTATCTAACGACTCTTCGCCTTGTCAGCTCTCTGCTTTCTCTCCGCAACGACGGATTTTCTGCTACCAAACAGAGTGCGAATTGTACCTTACCAACACATCGGCTTGGACCTCTACTGCCTATCTACACTGCCGCGCACAACATGTTTTAACTATTTGGATATATCGACTACACAGTGTGGCACATGTCAGTACTTATGCGTACTAGTATCAAATTATAATGTGAGGAAAAAGTTGAGCGCTTTCAAAAAACCTCTTCCACGGACTTTTTTTATACTCCAACCACTACGAAGGCCTAAGGCCTAAACACCCATGAGTACCGTGGGGCTATAGGGGGATACACGGGAAAGGGGGAACGCCACACGGACTCTGGCGAGGGAACACATGTGCATGCAACATGCACACATTCTGGCCCCGCCTACGAGATCCGCCGGGTGGTACCTTCGCGTTCGACAGTCAGAGACCGTCTACCATCTACGGACAATCACAACATCCATAGCCAAGAGAAATTGTTTTTCCTGGGACGGGATTCGAACCCGCACAGCGCACGGCGACTAATCAGGACACCGAAGAGTCTACTACTGCGGCCAACGCTGCTGACTTGAAAAATTTGGCTTCGATCTCGTTTTTCTCGATCTTGGACTGAATTTGTAAGAACATTCAGATAACTAGGAGGTTTTCCCTGGGTTAGTACAATTAAATTTATGACGTGAACAACCTGAAACCTAGTTACATTATTGTAAGAATCAAAATTTAAAATAGCATCAGATTCTGTAGCAGAAATGATAGACCTATATTCAAGGTAATTAAGTTGACAGTGGTGTCTGGAAAACGGAGCATCATATTAAAAAGCTACAAACATAATTTCGTTGAGTATTGATAAATGATAATATAGTTACGTATACTACTTTGAACTATATCTGCCTATTTATACATATTAATTTGCAATTTGCATTATTTCATATATACTCAAATTATTATTCCTCAGATCAAAAAAGTTAATGCTAATTACACTAGGCCTACTAATGTATAATACAATGAAAATTTTCATTTTGCTGATATATCCGACGGAACACGTTTCAACTTACCACGATGATCCTGCGGTGAAAACGTAATTAAAATTTGTTTTGCATCATTTACCCTTTAGTCGCTTCTTGTTATACGAGCGACCAACTTCGACGACCATCAATCAAACTGAGGGGTTCCTCCTTATAACGACTTCTACGACAGTTTGTATAAGTTAATCATATAGCTAACAACTACACCACACACACTGCACACGATAACACTACAAATGATTGGTGACCATCCGATGCCAATTACCTTCGCATTAACTATAGGTATAACTAGAAAAGCAGAAGAAACTGACAGCAGACTCCCAAAACTGTGCCAAAGAAGGCACGAAGTGCGGTATTGGTACGGCATTAAAATATAAAAGGAATTTAATCTACCACTGACAAGAGGTATGTATAGGTTGTTTCTAAGTTTCACCTTTCAGACCACGGACTGACGGTAAGCTAACTTAGTTCCCGAAATGCCGCTGGACTTTTTGGCGCGACAGAATCGTTTCCCTTCTCCATAATATGCTTACGCCTCAAGTGAGTCTATGAAATAGAGCTCCAGATGGTTGTTATGGGAAAAATCCTAGTTTCAATTCTCCCTTTAGCAAAAATGCCTTTACTCATTATCTGCCTGAGGAACAATCATTTGGGAAATATTATATATATTATATATAATAATAATGTATATTCATTATACTTGTCCGTATTTGGTTGCGAAACAAGTATTGGGTCTATTGAATAAAAAAAGGCTTACCTTGGAAGTAAAACCTTATAAGGATAAGTTGATACTTATAAGCACAAGGTATTTTTCATTTGAATAAAAATAAGTTTTTCTTAAAAGCTAATACTGGAAAAATCTCCTACATTTCAGTTTTTAAGTCTTTAATTATTCCTTATCAAAACTATAAGCATTTGGATATTGGTGTTAACAGTTGCCCTTGCAAGACAAATCATGACAAGTCTGTATCTTTTTGATACGGTGTGTACAATGATAGTTCGAGCAACATTTAGAGGTATTGCTATAATCATGTCGTCGAGTGAAGAAGAATTACCTGTCCAGATTGGCTGTGAGAGACTTATATTCGCCAAGTTATTAAAAAATCATAGTCATTTTGAATAAAACAATGACGTCGGTTGTTCAAGCTAAAGAAAATGCATGAACGAATATCAAAGACGAATTTTTCAAGACATCTGGTGTAAATACTATCACTGAGAAACTGAAAAAAATCCTCAATAGCATGAAAACGGATGAAAAGAAAAAAACTAATAAAAACACGACTGGAAATACTAAATTATTTAAAAAATCCAGTGTTCTTAAAAGTTCCTGGGGGTTGTTCCAGTGGAAGTATCAACGGAAAAACAGATACTCCCGAAAATATTGGATCAACTAGTTGAGTTCCCAGTTACTTCCTTTACCTATAGAAACGATAGACAAGCGTCCAAGGAAGAAGAAGGTCAAGCAAGAAACTGAAGAAACCGAAAACTTGTCAACACAATTAAATGTTCAGGCGAAAAGAAAACAACTGGAGCAATTCCACTTTCTCCGAGAAGGCAAAAAATACACTTCATTTACATCACAAGTGACTTGTACATT